TTTGATACGCCATTGCAAAATATTTTACGTATTTTTAAAAATTTAATTAGATGACTCAACTTTTATTTATTTAATATTTGTTAATAGTCTAGGAGCCAGGCGTAGAGTATTCAATTTATGTGTACTACGTACCTTGACGTTTTTGCATGTTTTTTGGTGCGTAGATTCGATTTTTCGAAGGTACCAGGCTAAAAAAACTTATCAGATAATTTTTATTGACAATTTTTTTGTTTAAGTGATTGTATCTCCTAAACCATTAGAGATATTTAATTTTATCAAAATTAAAGTGGTTCCTTTCGACAAAAATGAACAAACTGATTCTTTGATTCGAGTGTTAGAATCGGAGTTACAACAAATTTCCTGAAAAACATATGCAAAATAAAATCTTTGCAAAATTTCTTTATCTTTGTTAATAAAAAAGTTAACAATTCAACGTTAAAAATTTTACTAAAAAGTTACGAATTGATTGGTTTATAAGAGATTTAAACAAAATTAACATAAAAACTTCGAAAATATAACTAATGGAAGTTATAGATGTTTCTATGATTATTTTTGATGGTTTATGTTTGTAGTTTTATGATAATTTCTATGTATGTTAATTTTTGACCAATAATATAACCTTTTAATATCGAGTTCTAAGGCGCTCCGTCAGCTCACAAGAATGCTGGCGCGCGTAAATCGGTTTACAATATCTCGGCAAAAAAGTAACATAAAAACATATGCCAGCTTAAGCTGAAAATGTTCGTTTTTAATTGTTCTATAACTTTCATAAACCAAACTACCAACGTTTATGGCTTAATTTTGTTTAAAACTATTATAAACCAATTAATTCACCACTTTTTAAAGAAGAAAATTTTAACTATAAACTGCTATAACTATTTATTTATAATGATAAAGTAATGCATCTTTGAATCATGGATTGTACGTATGCATTGGTTTTTATTCGCTGCGAGCTGATCGTGTGGACCATTCTACATGCCGTTCATCGCGATAAAAATTGTTAGTGAAGTTTCTGGTACTCGAAACCGAATAAAGAACTAAATCAGAAAGACGGTATTGGATTTAATTTCGATGCTGGGCATCTGCAAGCTACTTATTCATATTTCAACATCATTAGGTCTCATCAGAGCGACATATGCAGTTGCTCTGAATCGAAACAAAATCTCTCCCGTCATAGGACAATAATTATAAAAATAATTATTTACAGATATTACAACGCCACTAAAGACGTACAATCTTAGGATTCCTAGTATTGTTATTAGATGGTGTTATAGCGTCTGTAATTAATTATTTTTATAATTATTGTCCTATGACAGGAGAGATTTTGTTTCGATTCAGAAAAACTGCATATGTTGCTCTGATGAGAGCTAATTACGTTGAAATACGTATAACCGGCTTGCAGATGCCCTGCATCAAAATTAAATCTAATACCGTCTTTCTGCCAATTTTTATATTTAGTATCCACGAAATAAATTATTATTTTATAATTATTTTTAACTAAACTTGTTATAACTCCGGTTCTGCAAATCGGATCAAACTTTACTAAACTGATTTTGGTTAAATTAAATATATCTAATAGTTTATCAGATACAATCATTTAAACTATTAAATTGTTAATATCAAATTATCTGACGGGTTTTCAGCCTGGCACCGTCGAAAAATCGAATCTACTCACCACCAAAACATAAAAGACGTAAAGGTACCGAGGGGATATAAAAGTTAATACTCAAATCCTCCTTCGCTCCTTGATGGAAATTAAAAGAACATGTGGGAACTTAAACATATTATTGTCATTACTATAGAGCCTATAGTAATTTCTCTTGCTGCTTCTCTTACGACAATGTGCGAAGAGCCAAGTAGTCAAGACCAAAAACCAAGGTCAATCGCTCTGGATGAGTACACATTTGGAGAATCGGCCATTCTAAAGGATTCACAAAAAGAGAGGTAAACAAAAGAGAAAGGCGCATAGCGCCACCCCTACTAAAGCGACATCACCGTAGAGCGGTCTCTCGGATTCCCCATTTCCCAGGGCATCCAAGATCAAAAACAAGTATTGTAGCAGGTACAACGCTGCTCCCTTAAAAATCTTATATACGCCAATGGGCCAAATTAAAATGTAAGAGGTCGCTGTGTTGTCAAGCTGAGCGACAAGCGAAATCTTGGTTTTGGTTGCCAGTTGGGGGGTCAGGGCTCGATAGCAATTTTGCACATCTCTGGTGGCGAATTTGGAACCAATTTGAGAAGTGAGCGTCTTTTACATATGACGAAATTTTAGTTAATAGTATCATTGAATATTAAAGCAACTCAAATTAAGCAACAACGTTAAATAATAATACATTAGATATTTACAAACTACGCCTGCAATCGCTCTTAAGTCCTAACAGTGCGCACTCCTCTCAGGTAAGCAATCTCAATTATTTAGTTTATAAAATCGGTTCTTTTAAAATCCATTATATATATATATATATATATATATATATATATATATATATATATATATATACATATATATATATATACATCCTACTATCATTATCTATATATATATATAATTAGTATAATGGTAAGGTTAATTGGGTTAGCAGCTGAACCCAATTAACCTTACCATTATACTAATTAATTATTGGACAGCTGTGATCATTCTTCGTTTATATATATATATATATATATATATATATATATATATATATATATATATATATATATATATATATATGTAACTATATGTATTATTATTCATTATTCATTTTGTAAGAAACAAAAATAGAATCGACTTTTTTATGTCATAATTTCATATGGCCTTCATTTTTATTGTAACATGTATTATTTAGTTCATTATTTAGTCCTCATTAGTTTTTTTTTTTTTCGTTTTTCAATAGGGTAAAAAGTCCTAGCTGCGTAGACCATTTATCGGACGATCTGATGTGAAATAGGTACCGTTATAACCATTTTTAAAAACAATTTAATAACAATCTTGATGTTATGTTGTATATTCGCCACCCATCCACTCACCCATATACCTATATCCCCATATAGTTGCACATTATTTGAAGAGTAACACTTGGAGAAATCAGCTTGGCTTATTCCAATCCGCCTTTCATCTTTGTTGGTTTTTGTAGGGCCCCGAGCGTCAAACCCTACGTGGACCTGTTTCCTGTGGAGCCAGATGTTGGAACAGATGACCTTTTGTTAACTCTAATATAAACACCTGTAAATTGTTTTACATCTCTAAATTGTTAATACTTGTTTTGATTTACAATCAGTGTAAACTGTTTATATGCATATAATCAAGTAAACTTACTAGTTTTTTATAAATAGGGAAAGGGTAATTAAAGTTTATATAGGTTGTTCAATAAGGGAGGGAAAATTTAATGCAGTTTCTTTACATAACTTTCTCTGATCCGACTCATTCTATTACATATTTTATATAAATATTTTCATTATATTAATTGGTATTTAGTTGATATTCGGACACATATTAGTCCTATCGGTGAGTACCTCACCCTTTTGCGTCTGCTAGGTAAGGTATTCATTTATTGTAACAATAGTTGTTCTTTTCTTAACTTTAATACCTAACCTAGTCTAGGTTTACTTTGTATTCTAATACTAACCTTTAATGTTAAGCTATTTCGCTTTTCTTCCGGACTTAAGATTTTGGTTTTTACGAATACCTTTGTTGATTGGCACAGTAGTGGTGGTATTTTTATTTGTTCGTGGCTATTAGGCCTTATTTTACCATTACACCCCCACCACTACTGTTATTTTAGCTTTTCTTTTACATGTAGGTAAATCATTTAAACTGTATTTAATAAAAATTTATAAATATAGTTGCCATTAGTAGTTAGCTTTTTATTTCAGTTTCTACTATCCAGTATATTATTGCAATACAAAGTAAATAGTGTGTTTTTTAGGTAAACCAGGTTAGTGTATTAGGTATACCTGTTTCTTGTTTTTCCCTCATTTCTAAACTCTCAAGCTAGTCTTCAGTGGCGCCCACATTCAGTACCTTAGGCAACTTCGTACATTTACTTATAGTTCCATCAATACAAGATTAAATTCCAAGTTGACCTATCTAATTTCATTGTTCTGTTACGTCTCATTCCCCCCCCCCCCCTTGTTTATATAATTTTATCATTACATATATTGATCTTTTATCTCAAAGCCGATCCTCAGTGTAGAAAAGCTAGCCCGAATTCTCCCTTGAGATTTGGTGTCTCTCTGGCCCTTTAAATTGATTCCTCTGAGCTAAGCCAGTCTTTATTAGTACATTCAATAACTTCACTCTAAATTCTCTTTCTTTTAAATTCTTATTCCTAAATTACAATACCTCAGAGTATTGGGGTTTCAGTAAAACCTCCCCAATGAAATTTCTACGATTGGGAAGGGGTGGTGGTAGCTTGGTAGTCAAGAAAGTTGTTCAGTTTTTGTTAACACTATGTATTGTGTTACACTTATATAGGTGTAGATAATTTTGTATTCACACAGTGCAAATTTAACCTTTCATACATTGTTTGGGAAAGTATTTAGTATTTATTTTCATATGTTGCATTTAATATTTTTTACTGTACTACAATATGTACTACATATTTTATTTAATGGTATATTCTAACCACTTATTTACTTTAAAAGCTATTATTTTCTGCTATTCAGTAAAATATAAAAACTGACTACACATGTCTGTTTTTAAGTTCAAAGATATTAACTTGTCTTTGTTAATTTGGTCACTTCCTTACAAACCCTAAAAAACTTTACAAAAAATCATATTTCAGTAACCATTTCAATTATTGCCATTCAAAATTGCAATATAATAGAGTGATTTATTGTAATTTGAAGAGTTAAAGAATACAATCCAAAGATGTAAGTCAGTTATAACGAACTATTGGTGCATACTACCTACTTCAAACCCATTTTCTTACAGTATATTTAGTAATTACTCTATATAATTATTCAGTGGATTACCAATTTCAATAAATAAACAAAAAAGTTCCAATCTAACTTACCTAATAAATCTATCGCATATACTGGCCTATCTTTTGACAATTCGTCGAAATTAAGAATCCAAAAGCACAGTCCGGCAGCGAAACCATGTAGCATAACAAGCGGAGTCTTTTTGGATTGTTCGTTTAAACCGATGGTCCATATTTTGTCCTCTTTACCGAGTTGGCTTCCAATTGGTACGAACCAAGTACGGTAAGCAGTTTTCAATACTAAAAAAAGTAATTGTTAGAAATTAATGAACAGTAAGCAAAAGTTAAAAACGGAAAATGCAGCTAGATCACAAGACACACAGGTACTCAATATCAAAAGAACACAACGGCGGCCATAAGCAAAAAATCTTACTGACTGCCAGAACTGGAAGTCAATTAAAATATTCACAAAATTCTAGTATAATAATGGCGATAATTAAATGAGCCAATAAATGAAAAACTGAAATGAAAAATGAAAAACCAACCAATAGGTTTACGGCCAAATAGTGCTTGTATAAATAAATTTTTACCCTTATAGGCACCATATTCTGGACAAATATAATCGCACATATATAATTATGAAGCTGCAAAAGAGGCGAGGGATTGATCATAATTTTAAAAAACAAACAGACGAATATGCATTACAATGCCCAGGAAACAGAAGAAAAGTAACTAGCAGAAACTTGCTTCACATGAAACTAATCAAAAAGGATAGCAAGAAAGAAGAGAATGGAAAAAACTCAATGGACTCAATACTTGATGCATGGGATGTACCGGGTGGTCCAAAAAGCTGATGTCTCGGCTATATATCAGAAACTATTCATGTTATAACTTTAGGAGAAAAAATTTCTTAGTAAAAGAGGTCAAGAGAAATCGCTGGAAATAATTTTCAAGTTTCTGGGTTAACCGCTAGGGGGCGTAACCTGTGAAGAAAATTTTGAAAACCAGTTTTTTTAGAAATATACCCAATTATACCAAGTGTTAAATAAGTAAACTAGAAAGAGGCCTTAATTCTTCACAAAGTTGTTCAAGTACTTTTTTAAATTTTTTCAAATAAAGGGTGGGGGAGAGTGGGGAAGTATTTGTGGATAAACACCTATAACTTTGGATTGGATCAAACGATTTTAAACGAAATTAGTGTCATTAGAAAGAGTGTGGATGAATTAATTTATATCTACTATAAAATAATTGCATTTAGTTTTAATTGTCATAGGTAGAGGGTACTTTCGAATAGAAAAAATTAAAATTCGTTTTTCTTCAAAATGTTTAATGGAAACACCTATTTATTGTAAACTATAATGGAACTGGATTAAATTCGTAACAAAATGGCACAAACCGTTATGTTAATAGCTTTTGTCGAACTCGAGATATGAATAAAAACGCATAAACGTAAGTAAGCATAGTATTGACTCACCCTGTATTGTAAATTAAATTAAAAAATAAGTCAGAAGGTGCTTTCAAATTTTTTTTATAGCAAAAGAATCTTAATGTTGATACCTATTTTGACCATTGTTATTTTATATGATTAAAAATAGTTTTTTCGAAAGAGTTATATTATAATCCGAATTGAAGATTGCACTTTTTTCAATAGATTTTAATATTGGTAATATTAGTAATTAATTATGAGTACTAATAATCCGTGATGAGTATATCAAATGCAGAATTGTATGATATGATTGGAGTTTATTTCGAATGCCACCAAAATGCCGCTATTGCCTCACGTAAATATTCTGTAAAATATCCTGACAGGAGACATTATGGCAAAAAAGTATTTGAAAGAAAGGTAAGAAGATTAAGATAAACTGGTAGTTTTCATCGTCCTTGTTTTGAACGATGTAGTAGAGGTATGACCGAAGATAATTCAATCAATGTTCTTGCTTTAATTCAACAGAATCCACATATATGTAAGTAGTCGGCAAATCTCTATAGAATTAAACATACCCAAAACTACTGTTCTAAGGATTTTAAAACATCACAGGTTGGTTTTTCATATTATAAAGTGAACGTTTAGGTCAGAAACTTGGAATTCCCTTTAAACTTTACATTCAACTGTTATTTTAATATTCCGATAAAAACGGCAACACGGCGCTTTTATTCCTTTTATCCGTTTCTTAAAAATACTTATGCACGATTTATCTTGCGAAACAATTGTAAATTTTTCAAGATTTCTGAGTTTTAGTAAATAAAGTGGTATTTTTTTCACCAATATTTGTTGTTCTGTTTTTTAGACTGCATCCTTATCATGTAGTTCTCCACCAAGCTTTACATGAGAGAGATTTTGATGCAAGGTGGGATTACTGCAATTGGATGTTAGGCCTGCTAGACGAACAATCGCGTATCTTGTCAAAGATTTTGTGAACAGACGAGGCTACGTTTAATAGTGCGGGTGGTGTTAATCTACATAATATGCATTATTGGGCTAAAGAAAATCTGCATTGGATACATGAGGTGCAGGTTCAAGGTAGATGGAGTCTTAATGTTTGGTGTGGTATAGTTGATGGAAAGATCGTAGGTCCATATTTCTTTGATTTAACTTTAAATGGCGAAAAATATTTGGATTTTCTGGAAAATCAGTTGTCTGTTCCATTGGAAGATATTTCCTTACAAACAAGAAGAAATATGATATTACAACATGACAGGTGTCCTGCGCACTTTTCCAGACGAGTTCGAGATTATTTGTATGCAAGTTATCCAAATAAATGGATTGGAAGGGGAATCTTCAGACATAACATATCTGGACTTTGATCTGTGGGGACGATTGAAGAACTTAGTGTTTAAGCCAGATTACAGCCAAATTAAACCTGTCTCCGCTCACGAAGCAACTGGTTTTGGATCAGTTGAGCTATAATATAATACAATATTAAATGTGTCAAAATGGTGGGTATAAGAAAGACCAATTTAAAATATTAGCTTTTAAAAAAGTTATTCAGTTTTTCTGAAAAAGAAAAACAATGCACAAATATATTTCTCGGCTACCATGATACCATGTGAACAAATCACATTATGTTCAGACTTTCCTTAAATTTCCAATGTGCAAAAGTTATTCGTTATTTTAAAAAATCAATAGATTAATATTTTTTATAATAGTTTCTTCATTTTTACTATGTCCAAGTGACAATCCTAATATCTACATAAAATTAAAATAAAATCTTAAAATAGAAACATCCGTAAATTTTGAAGCGAAGCTTCTATACTGGTATTGTAATAATTTTTCTCTATAGTAAAATGATTAGGCGATCGTTACGGAATTAGGGAGACAACGAGGGAGTCCGTTGTACGATATGTAAACTTTTTAGCGTTATTTGTTAATAAATTAATTTCAAACTATATTCAAATGATATTTTTAAACATCTTATTTGGTTTATATAATAATTAAATTTACTATGTATCAAATGAAATTTATTTATATTTCTTCATTAATATTTAGTCTGACTTTGATGGGTCTGTCAGAAGTAAACAGCATAGTATACTTGGTAATGTTGGTATAATTAAATAACATTACTTTATTCAATTTTAAAAATATTACTTATTTAAATTTTAAAAATACGGAAAACATAGTATGAAACTTCGCGATAGTCTACAGTATGACCTACTATACCACCTTGTTTTTCAAATAGTCAGTACAAATAAAAGTTGTTTATATCACTGAAATAATCTAAACAAGATGTTTTGACCAGTCTTTAGTTTCCGGATAATTTGACTAATCTTAAAGTATTTATATTCTAAAATGTTTCCCAAATGTTCGGTTAAAAATGTGCTATAAAAAAGGCAACGTTACTGCCACCACGGAAGGAAGGTCAAACAAAATCAGTTTTAGACTGATTGAAAACCAGGTTTAATCAGATCGCGTTGTGGCCAAAGGCGCCCAAGATGCAAATGTTTTTTAAAAGAACGGTTGAAAACTAGTTGGAAAGAAGTTTAGGACCTTAGATTAAAATCTAAGTTTAGGACGGATCGCCACGTTGGCGAATTTCCTCGGTTTTATGCTACCAGGATTAATTAAACAGTTGCAAATGCAATCGGTTTCAGAACGTAGTTTTAAAAGAGTTGCGTAAAGATTGATGCATAGGAACTCAAAAAAAAAAATAATATTGAAGCCATTTAGCCCCTTGATTCTTGTCGAGACGACTAGAAAATACCAAACCATGTCAACAAAGTATAAATATGACGTTATGTTAAATTGTAGTGTCATATACATATAAAGGGTGATTTTTTTACAGGTATAGAAATATAAGTTGGCAACACTGTTTAACTGGCGGTAATTTTAAAAGCTGTTAAGCGATTAATGTCTAGTTTGGTTTGGAATTTTAGCATGAATAGACTGACGCCTGAACAACGCTTCCAAAGTGTGCAAATTTATTTTGAAAATAATGGTTCTGTTCGAAATACGTATCGTGCACTACGTCCATTTTATGGTCAATATAATTGTCCATCAGAGCAACAAATTCGAATATCCATGAAACGTTTTCGCACCAGTTTACTCTAAATAATAATACGCATCCTCAGATACCTCGTACAGTGTGTAAAGAAGAAGTTGTTGCTGATGAAGTGTATGGCATAGAGGAAGACTCGAAGCAGTCTATCCGCCATCATGTATAGCAGCTGGATATGTTTCCATCCACTTTATGAAAGATTTTGTGCAAATATTTGATTTGTGTAGTTACAAAATCCAACTCGTGCAAGAATTAAAGCTACACACTTACCTAGCAAGGCATAGATTTTTTGAATTGGCCCAAAACAAGATTGCCGTTGATCCTGATTTTCATAAGAGAATTTTGTTTAGAGATCAAGCTCACTTTTGGTTGAATGGCTTTAACAACAAACAAAACTGGCGTATTTGGAGTAAAGATAGTTCTCAAATGTATGTTAAGACACCATTAAATTTAGAAAAACTGGCTTTTTGGTGTGTTTTGTGGGCTGGTGGAATCATTGGTCCATACTTCTTCAAAAAGGATGATGGCCCGAACGTTACAGTCAATGGTGACCGCCATACAGCCATGATTACTGACTTTTATATTCCTCATTTGAACAACTATGGTGTGCAGAAGCTGTGATTTCATTAAAAGGGTGCAACATGTCACACAGCTTGTGCCACAATTGATTTATGAAAGAAACGTTTAGTAACCGCATAATTTCATGTTTCGGACCCGTCAATTGGCCTCCAAGATCATGCGATTTAACACCGCCCGACTACTTTCTGTGGGGATATGGGAAGTCGCTAGTCTACGCCGATCAGCCTA